AGGTTTATGAAGGTGAACGTGCAATGACCAAGGATAACAACCTACTTGGGAAATTTGAGCTCACTGGCATACCTCCTGCACCACGTGGTGTTCCTCAGATTGAAGTCACTTTTGATATTGATGCCAATGGCATTCTCAATGTATCTGCTGTGGATAAGAGTACTGGAAAAGAAAACAAGATTACCATCACCAATGATAAGGGTAAGGTGGCACTGCCCCTTGGATGTCTGGTCTTTTAAGTTTTCCTGGCATAGTTACACTGCCCTTTAGTCTCGTCCAGAGCTTAAACACTGGTATAGATGGGATTATTTCTCACCATTGTATTTAGTGCATGCTAAATACCTAACCACACTGAATACCTAACTGTAGCATGTGCTATGACTTTTTTATCTTAAAGAGGGTAAGTAGGTATTTAAGGGCCTTTTAAAAAGCTCCTTATGTACTTGAATAGGTCGTCTGAGTAAAGAAGATATTGAACGGATGGTCCAGGAAGCCGAAAAGTACAAAGCTGAAGATGAGAAGCAGCGGGATAAGGTGTCCTCTAAGAATTCACTTGAATCTTATGCATTTAACATGAAAGCAACTGTTGAGGATGAAAAGCTGCAAGGGAAGATCAATGATGAAGACAAACAGAAGATTCTTGACAAGTGTAATGAAATTATCAACTGGCTTGATAAGAATCAGGTTTGTTGCAAAGCATTTATGCTATATTATAGGTGCTCTGAACTGTTAGGCTTCACAATCAGTTTGTATAAGGTCACAATGATGAATGGTCCAAAACATTCGCGGTTTCCACCAGAATGACTTGTGTTGGCTTCCTTCCTTGGATGTCTGAGTGACCCCAGGCTTTAGAATGATTTGGGGGGTGGGGGATCACTACTCAGGCACATCTTTTATTGGGAAGTAGCCGCTGTATTAAGGAGCCTTTGACAACCAAATACACACTTTTCTCCCCAGACTGCAGAGAAAGAGGAATTTGAACATCAGCAGAAAGAGCTGGAGAAAGTCTGCAACCCCATCATCACCAAGCTGTACCAGAGTGCTGGAGGCATGCCTGGAGGGATGCCGGGAGGCTTCCCTGGTGGTGGAGCTCCTCCATCTGGTGGTGCTTCATCTGGACCCACCATTGAAGAGGTTGATTAACCAAGTAATGCGAATAGAAACTGCATTGTTCCACATTTAAAGATCCAAGGACCTAAATTTGTAGCACATTGACCCAGCAGTAAGGAGTTAAAGCTGCTATACTAAATTTCTGGGCATTCTCAGTACTTGAACAATACAGTATGCATAGGGAAAGACATCAAGTCAACATTGCACTTTATTAGTACTGTTATTGTAAGTGGAAAATGCAATGCCTTGAAAATAAAGCTGTATTTAAATTGGCAATACCACGTGTCATTCCATGATTTAAAAATTCAGACCTTGCTAGTCATTAGTATTGGAAGCTTTATCTTTTGACCAAAAATGGTATCAGTATCAGGAAAGGCTTTTATACTAAAACTGTAAGGTAGAATTAAAAAAAAAAAAATAGATGGCAGCAATGATTTGCTAAAGGAAATGGTGATGGGTTGTCGAAATGGGAAAGTTGGAAGTTTCTAATATGCTTTATTAGAATTGTTCGTTTATGGGTAGTGAAAAAGATTAGCCTTCTAACAACGGGAATTCTTCAGCCTTCTGTATTTTTTTGTTTATTTCTTTAAAAGCCTGTTTAGAAACCTCAGTGGTGTGGTGATTTACAAAGAATACCAGAATACACCCTCAAATTTGCATCTGTCCCTGTAGGATTAACTGAGTACTCAATGAATGGTGGGATTGGTTTAGCATTAGCACTTCTGAGACAGGGTTTGTGCACAACTATTTGTAGGGTTTTTAAGTAAGGGAATATGATAAAGGGCAGCCCACTCTGGATTAGGGTAGCTCCTAGATAGTTTACTGAATTAAATTTGAAGTAAAGTTTTGTTAGTTTGGAGGTGTGAACATAATACAGATGAATATAGTGTAGTCACCAAGACTTGAGTAAAGTTCTTAGTGTGGAAGTGTGAACATTACAGATTGGTGCAGTCACCAAGGCTTCAGTCACCAAGGCTTCGATGTGCTTGGTAAGGATTATATATATAGCATGTTGCCACCTAGTGGTAAATGCCTGGTAGTGTCACATCACAACCATATAGTGAAGCCAGTGATATTAATGTGACAGTACAGTATTGGCAGAATTTTCACACCATTATTTAACAGTTAACTAGTATTCTGGCATGATGGAATTTGTAAATTGAGCTGTCCTAAACCTCCCCCCCTTTTGTGATTGCTTGAGGTTGTGATGTTGAGTCTTGGGTAAAGAAAGATTATGTACTTGGCTTTCAGTATCTTAGTATTGGTATTTATAATGTGTCTTTGGCTTTTGCAAGCCATGATATAACAGGCCATTTGTCTATTCCTTTTCAGACAAGCTTTTTTTATGGGGGAGTGGATATACGTAGCCAGGGAGCCAGGTACTCAAATTTTGTTGCACATGTATAGCAGGGGTTTTTTTGGAACTAGTAATTCATGTTAATTTTTTTCATGTTAATGTATACACACTTAACATGATTTCTGTGACATTTGAATTATTGAAGGATCTTAAACTTGAAAAGGGGCCGCACCCTGGTGGTGGCAAATAAATGGGCTGTAACTCATTGCCACTTTAAATCTCTAGACCTGTGTTCACTGCAGAGACCGGTGGGTTCAATAAGCTTGTGGTTAAAAGTTTAATATTCCAGAGTGGTAGCATGTTTGGCCCTGTAGTTAGATCCTATAGAACAGGCTAGAATTGGCACTATTAAAAACACCTTTTAGAATACTCCACCTGTGTTTCCAGGACTGGTGGTTTCAAACCCACTGGTCATACCAGTCCCAACACTGGTGCAAGAGCTGGTGGGTTTGAATCACCTTTTTGCTGTTGCTGTGCCACTAGTGGTCCTTGGAAAATTAAGTGTAAGGTAGCAGTTGTAGTAATGACAAAAAGGGTTGAAAATAGCATAGTGTTCACCACCTCATTTAAGTGAAGGGATGGCTACATTACAGTTTGATGAAAGGACATTTAAGGGTAGGATATAAGGAAGTTAGTATATAAGGGATGCTACATAGTAAGTTTTATACAGGACTGATTCACCAACTCCCTACCCCAGGTGAGGAAAGGAGGTATACAAGAAGTCACTACCCTCTTAAATTTCACATGTTTTGAAGTTAATGCTGGTTTCTACTGAAATCTGGAGTGATGTGGTTAATGTAGAATTTCAGTTCTCAGTGCTGTATATTTAATTGCTGAAGGAATCTTCTCAAAGCTGCTGCATTAATGGCTCTAAAATGATGGTGTATCTTGCAAAAGCAGATTATCTAAACTCTTGGATTACGGACTAGTACAAAAGTAGTGGTTACACACTAAAATAAGTTATGGTTACAATGCTTCCGTGCAAGCTGCTGAGACTAAGTCCAGAAACAAGGTTTTCCTGCTCTAGAGAATTGCTTGATAAAATTGGAGTCTGCTCTGTGGTTGACAGTTTGATAAAAAATTTTCCATAAAGGGATAACAACCATCCTATCCTGTATGGAGCAAGTGGCATTTTCCCAACAGCCATGTGCTTGATGTTTCAACATTTTGGCAATATTCAAGTAGATAATTCATGACGGTGGGCAGTAATGCCCTGGGCAATGTGTGGAACTATTCAGGAAGACTGCAAGGCAGATAACCTAACCTTGGGCTGTTTGGGTAAGTTTCTCACTGCTATGGGAGTTTTCAGAATGGAATGGTAGGCTGAATATATTTGGTACCTTGGGTCCAAATAATAGTG